GCTTCCCTTCTAAATGACGCATAGATTAAGTTTTCCTTTTACAATATCGATATCTGATAAAATTATTTATGTTTTCTGAAGAACTATAAATCTACATGTATGTCATCCTGGTGCATACATAACATTTTCTCTGTATAGAAATGTTACAAAGAACATTCAACTATAGAGAAGCTAGTGATAAAACCACAATGATAGACCCATAAAGTAATTGCATGATTATGATAGGTATTAGCATTTTCTTAATACAAAATTAACACTAATACCAAAGCATTAAATTATCTTTTTAACACTAATGCAAAAGTATTAACTGAATTATTTAATTTTAATACAAAAGCATTAAAAAAAGTATTAATTAATGCAATACTAATGCTAAGACGACACCCCTATAAGAATTTAAATATGCAAGGATTTGATCATGCTTTGGAAAATGTGGTGTATCATCAGGTAAAGGAAAATCAGAAGCATGAAGATATGTTTTTGATGAAGTGGTATGTGTTGATTGATAAACTCCACCTGGTGTTTCTTTATAAAACCATACTCCACCAAGATTTGATTCACGTTCATATAATTGAGTATCAAGGTTTTCTTCTAATAAATATTTCAATGCATATAGGCCAGACCAACCTCCACCAATAACAGCAAATTTCTTTTTTTTCATTTCAAAGAAAAGTCTGACGAAAAAGAAAAACTTTATTTATTTTGCACGTTTTATTTATATACATTGAATAAATGCTTCATTTACCTTGTTTTTTTTTAATAAACAGAATGAATTTTTTCTTTGACATAAGCTTGAGAGAAAGAGAGAATATCTTTAATGAAGAAAAATCAGGTTCTTTCTATTTGTTATGCATAAGAAGAACGAAAAAAAAAAAAGAAAAGATTTTTCTAAAGTGAGAAATAATGGAAGACATCAACTAAAAATAACAAGTTATATGAAAGGAATTTAGAATTATTTCTCATTTGTGAAAATTGTTTTGACATTTCTCGAAAAAGTCGAGTAACCATCGTTTAACAAAGACTTTCATATCAGTGAACAAAAATTGAAGCAATTCGTGTTTTAGAAAATATTTTTGATGAATTTCTATCACAATCTTTAATTTCTGTTTTTTCATTAGAACATTTTACAATATTTGATTTATATCAATTGTAGATAGTTTCAAAGACGAGAAAATTTATTATTTACTAGTAGTTGAATATTCCTTTCTAAATCATACATGTCAAATTTGATGTATCGATGAGCTATTAGAGAACAATAAAGGGCAGTTGCTACATTTTAAAAAATAGTTAGGGGTGTACATAGGGTCAAAACTCTGCTTCTCTTTTATAATAATAACATATCAGAATCTATTGGCATATCTAAAAAATGATTAATGACATACATAAGATTGAAGATATGATCTTCTGTTTAGAATACTTAATGCTGATCCAAATTTCTAAGGTTGATGTTTAAAATTTTCTAAAATGGTTAATATCGAAAGTTTTATTGTATGAACATATGTTCGAATGCCACGTCTAAACTCTTCGCTATTAACTATAGAATATCCATAGGTCTTTTATAAGATCCTCTATTTTTATGCTTTTTGTCTGCGTTCATAATCTGAGAAATTGCCCGCAAGCACAATAATGTGAGTGCCACGGAAGGATACACACTCTTCAGAATCAGTTCAGTCGTGTTCGATCTGATAAAGCAACTGAACGAGACTGGAATATCGCATGACGGACTGTCCCAGTGTGCCTAAAAAAGGTTCCTGATGGCTAGCTTAGAAGGCCTTGAGTCAGCGTACTCACTTACATTGATCCATATCGGAGATTAAAAAAGAAAATATTTTTCGGACTATACGGACAGTCGGTTTGGGGAACGGCTCTCTGAAAAAGCAAAATATTTCGTTTCCATACTATTTACTATTTTACTTAACCTGTTGCGTGAAGCTGCATGACACCATCTGTTAGGTTTCGCCTCTATTCTACATGAATCACATAGTTGAACTGCATATGGCGTTCTTCTGAGCTGTTTTCCTAATATTAAAACAGCTTACTATATAGCTCGAATCAATCAGTTATTCAAATATGCGAACGTACACGTCACAGGAATAAATGTGATGTCAACAGCCACTAGAATAGAGAAAAAGATTTACAGCTTTTCTTGGAAACCCACAACTATCGTCAATTGGCTACTCTTGCATGAGTGGTCAATGACTTCCATTTTTGCAATGTTTATCTCTAGTGACGATTTCCTTAAACTTTATGAGTCCAGTGCAAACACCTATCCGTACGTGATTCATTACGCATCACATATTACATTCATTAGAGCAAACAACACTTTACTTACGATCAGGGTCGTAGATCTAGACCTCAAAGCATGAATGCTGACTTTGGAAGTCATAAATGGATAGTTTCGGACTATACACATAGAGAAAATGATCAAAAATCTAGAGAAAAACCAGGAACGTAGAAGACTTCGCAAGAATCTTCCAGATCAACTATGGTATCATGCTAGAGGTTTCTTTCATGAAAAGCCGTGACTTTTTCTATATTTTTGCTTTTTTTGACTGTTTTCTCTACATTTTTGATCAAGAACTTACCAATTATGACTGCCCAACTTTACATATATGTCGATGAGTAAATATATGTTGGATATCTTCAATTCCACACACAAAAATAAGAAGCATTGGTGTAAATCAAAATTGAAAAACATCATCATATTTTTGTTGCTATTCTTAAGAAACCACTGCTAGAGATTTACCACCAGTGGTATCTATTTGCGCAAGGTTGCCGACTAAAAGTTGTGGCGATAAGCCTGGTAAAGAGTCATAAGATGTAAAATACGTTCGTTTAAAGTAAATATAAAATGTTGATAAGAGAACTATGATAATGACCAACACAATTATCATTGTCGAATAGTTTATATTGAACGATGACTAAGAATCAAAAACTAATCTATTTTTTATGATATAAAACTAACAAACTGAAAGAAAAGGATATGGTCAAGTCTCGTTAACACACTTATTCCTAGGTTGAAAAGAAAATGGCCATTTTACGACAGGGATACGAATTTTTACCATGAAATTAACCTGCTGACGTTTCAACGTCAACGTTATGATTTTCTTTATATGTAATTCGTACAGGGAATAGTATCGACGAGTTTTGCTGTGGTACTTATTTGATATTTTAAGGAATGTCATGGCAACGAAAACCAGCTCATCGGTAATCTGCCTAATAGTAAAGCTGATGAACACGTTAAAGAATTATGTTGAAGGTCGATTTTTAATACCAGTATTCATTGCCATCCAAAAACATTCTTAATTAATTAACATATTGATGTTCACAGACTTCACTGTTAGATCACTTACCGATGAAAATATCAATTTGTTTTCAAGAATAAATCGATACTATTTAAAGAAATTTTGACAAAACTAACTTTATGTAAGACTCAAATTGGCTGTTTATTTTTTTTTTGTCTATTATGATGTCTTTATTAATGTATTGACAGAAATCACCATAGCAAATATAAAAGAATAATTATGGAATAATTCAGTATATATTTATATATCTAATAATAAGAAATGTATTTCTATCTGATTCACAGGTATATATATATAACACACATAGAAACGAGAAAAAAAAATAAATTTGCATTCAATTGAAAGATATTTTTCATACAAGTGCACATCTTGAAGATAACAAAAATAATCTATCTGACACTATTTTTGAGATAAACGAACAAAAAAAAATATATATATATATCTATGTCCATTTGTACATCTGACTAAATACGAATAACGATTTCACCAGCTAACATAATTTGATTTTCATCTTGCATTTTTGCTAAAGCCATTCGAATTTCATCTTCATTAAATGTTGAATCATGTTCTTTCATATAATCAAAAATTTCTTGAGTTGTTACTGATGGTTGTCGATCAATAAATGTTGATAAATGGGTTTTAAATACATCTAATCGAGCTGAACTAATTGTTATTTGTGATGCTACAGGTATACTTTCATCATCACCCCGACCAGCAGCCACTTTTCGTATTGGACGTCGTTGACGTTTCGTTGCACTACCACCATCACTTTGAGGTTCATCATGTGATGATAATTGACGACTGAAAACAAAACAAAGAAAAAAAAACTTTAATTTTAAAATACTAAATAACATACCGTCTTTTAGGTGTAGCTGGTTGAGAAGCCGAATGATCAGTATCCATATCACCTTCATCATTTTCTTTATCTTCTTCTAATTCTTCATCATCATCATGTGTTTGTCCTTTATTTATATCTTTTTTATGTTTATTTTTTTCTAACACCTAAAACGAAAAGCATAAATTAGATTATATAAGTTATATTTAATAATTATAAAATAACAAACTTTTTTAAAGATAGCAAATTGAACAAGATCAATAGCTACTTCACTATCTTCTGGATCAACCGTTTTTGACATACGACATTTAGCATGAGCAGTTGCTAAACGTATCATACTTTCTAATGCTCGAGCTGTTATTGGTTGTGTCTTGAACAAAAATAACTTTCTTTACTATTTTACAATATAATTTAATCTTACTCGAGCTTGATTATCTGTTTGAGATAAATCTTGATTACGTAAACGTGTATATTCTTCAACAATTATATCAGCTGCTTCTTTAGTTAATTGTGGTTTAAGTGCTTTAGCAAAATGAATATATTTTTTCATGAATCGTAAATTAATAAATTTTGTTCTAAAAAGATATTTCTTTTATGAATAAAATAAAAACATGAAGAGAAAATTTTTCATTTACTTTTTTGAATAATAAGGACCATGAAGAACAGCATCATATTTATCATATATTTGTATATCATCTTCAGCATCTTTTTCAGCATCATTTACTTGTTCAGTTGTTAAAGCATCAACTTCAGATGTAAATGGAAGTACTTCACCATCAGCTTCATTCGGTGGTCGATATCGATGCATTCGAAGAACATGATCAGCAATAATATTATCTTGTTCCATATCACAATTATCAAGTATAACAAAAATAAGATCGAAACGAGATAAAAGTGAATCTTGTAAACCAATATTTTCCATCGGTGTTTTATATTGATCATACTGAAAGAAAAAAAACAAATTCAAAGATAAGATCTTTTTTTCACAAATAATTTAACTATAAAACATACACGCCCATAAACAGGATTTGCAGCAGCAAGTACACTACAACGTGCATTTAATTGAGCATGTATACCAGCTTTAGCAATAGTAACACGACCTTGTTCCATAACTTCATGTATTGCTGTTCGATCAATATCTGACATTTTATCAAATTCATCAATGCATACAATTCCTCGATCAGCTAAAACCATAGCACCAGCTTCAAGACGACGATCACCGGTTTCAGCATCTGTAGTAACGGCAGCTGTTAAACCAACACCTGACGAACCACGACCAGTTGTTGGAATAGCTCGTGGAGCTGTATGTAAAACATAACGAAGTAATTGAGATTTAGCAACTGATGGATCACCAATTAATAAAATATTGATATCACTAAAAATAAATAAATCATTATTATTTTCTCGAATCTCTAAAGATGAATTATAGTAAAACTTCTACATTGTGAGCATTGTCAGAACCGACAAAAAATCGTTTACTATAACACGATGTTCATTAAGGAGCGGATCAAATAAATATAA